ATGTTCATTGCTTCGGTGATGCTATCTAACCATCTCATCCTCGGCCGTCCCCTTCTCCTTTTGCCTTCAATCTTTCCCAGCATCAGGGTCTTTTCCAAAGAATCCTCTCTTTGCATTAGGTGGCCCAAGGACTTCAGCATCAATCCTTCCAATGAGCAGTCACAGTTGATTTTCTTTAGGATTGACTGGTTTGACCTCCTACCAGTCCAAGGGACTCTTAAGAATCTTCTCCAGCACCACAGTTCAAAGGCATCAATTCTTCAGTGCTCAGCTTTCTTTATGGTCCAGCTCTCACAGCCATACATTGCTACTGGAAAAGCCATGGCTTTGATTATGCGGATCTTTGTCGGCATTACATTGGAACTACTGCCAGCTATATTGTCCAGTTCAGAAAGCCACCCATTGGCTACACTATTTTTTCAATCCTCTCTTCAATTTCTAAACACAGGGACTATACAGTAAACTAGGAAGAAAAATCTGATCTTTGGCTTTTTAAATAGTTTTGACACACTCACCTAACACTGAAAGTTCAAAGCTTTTCCTGTCTTCTCCTGCTACATTAGTCACCACACAGATATAATGACCAGCATCTTCCACTTTCACCTGCATTAGACGTAACATCCTGCCACCTAAAGAGAAAAGCCATAAATCTGCATATTATAACAAAACCTAACTCTCAATTTTGAATTGTTAATATAGAACCAGAACAAAACGTAAGTTGAAAATAACTGGCAGCCTATTGAAATCTCAGTGATCTGTGGAATATAGAGTTGACTGAGTGACAGAGATCATTTCGCTTAGACAAACCCACTTCACTCCTTGTATATGCCTGAAAAAAAACTAGTACTGGTTCAGTGGTTCAGTGGTTGACTGTGACACACTTCCATCATCTGGAAAGTGACTGGAGTATGTAAATAATTTATATGGACTTGGTGGAAACAAGACATGGAGACGTGTAGAGAATGGTGTTGTTCTAAATTAGATTAAATCAGGTTTCTTTTCTTTTTATCTCCTGTCTTTAGTTTCTTTGGCTCATTTCACTACATTTCACTGATTTGGGAGTTTTTTGGAGGGGGGTGTTTTTGCTTGCTTTTGCTTTGTATAATATTCCTTACCCTAAAGAGAATACATAATAGGTACATATGTATTAAGGGGAAATTCCTTTTATACTAGGCTTTCAAATTCCTTTTATTTTTTGAGACTTTGACTCTGTACTTGATAGAAATCAATCCATGAAAGCATCCAGAACTCTGTCTGAATCTACATTATTAAATGGAGTTGTGCTTTGAGAGCAAGGCAGTTGTGTTCAAGTTGTCATCACCTCCTTAACAGAAGGCATGGGGCCAGCCTTCTTAAAGGAAAAGTAGTGCAATCAGCCCTCACAAAACATCTTCCATTGGACCCAGATCTTAACAATCTTAGGCCAATAACAAATATTTCCTTCCTGAGCAGGCTGCCCAAATGTGTTGTACCAGACTGATTTTCTGGTTTGGGACCATTTCTGCATTTAGACCTATTTCCCTCCGAGTTCTGGCACTGGAACATCTTTGGTAATTCATATAATGATTTGTAGCTGCTTGCCTTTGATTTCTTAGTCACTTCTTTTTAGGGAGGAAGAGTATATATTAACAATGTGTAAGTTTATTATCTTTATGCTCTGAGATCAAACAGATAATAATAATCTGGAAAGTGTCTGGGGTAAGTAGACAGTAGAGAGGCTGTTGGCACATAATTCCTCAAACCATATGGATCTCACCTTCTTTGGAGCGGTTATATTCCACATGCTTGATGAGGTTGATATATTTGGGGTGTACTTCTACCCCAGTGATAGAAGTACAGATTTATTTCTAGCTTTACCCACTTCGGAAGAGGAAATTCCATGTTCTGGTAACTTCTAAAACTTAACATTAACGGCATATTGCACTGGTTCAGTCTCATCTTCATTGTTTTCCAGCTCCATCATGCAGTTTGGAGTATGGTATTAGTATATTTTTACTCTTGTGTTTTAATCAAAACAATGGTCTTCTAGAGAAACTTTTATTATAAAGCATTTAAGAAAAATCAGTCAATATTTATACATTCCAGGTATGAAATGTGTTGCTTTTTAAAGCAAAACTCCAGAACCTATGATGATCAACCTATGCATTTTAGTAAAAAGGTAAAGGCTATCTTCAGTCAGGCTTGACTCCTGGTGACCATAAGGATATGTCAATGCAGATTTCTGGACCACAGTACTGTAGTGACTGGCTATTCTGCTTTTTTTTTTCTTCAATCTCCCCAATCTAAGCTTCAACCTTGGTGGTCTTTTATCCAAATATTAACCAAGCTTAATCCTACTTAGCATTTTTCCAAAATCAGCCAATGTCATTTAGGTGTTGTCCATGTACTGGTATGAGTTATGTCACTAAAAAGTCAATGAAATTTGCAGTAAGGCACCAGGATGGGCCCAATATCCAAAATGTATTTCTTTCAGCCTCTCAGTAACTTGGAGAAAAATGGTATGGAGATCCGACTGTGAAATAATCATTTACCCAGTGGTAACCAAGTTAGTCTATGATCTAGGATTTAAACAGTTCTCAGTATCATGTTCTAATGCTCTCTACAAAGAAAGTAATTATCTGCAGAGAGAAAATAAGGTAATCAGGAATGTAAAATGCATAATATTACTTAAGAGAGTACTCTACTACTCTTATTACTTAAGAGAGTAATAGTATGCATGCAGAGTAATTACCTGCTTTAACTAACTGTATCTGAAACAGAAATTGTAGAGTCCAGAAAAAGCCTTGCTATGTACATTATATAAACTGGCATCTATCTATCTATCTATCTATCTATCTATCTATCTATCTATCTATCTATCTATCAAATTTATATAGCCACCCATCTCACGAATGTGACCGTTGCATAAAATAAAACAAACAATAAAAACACATCTTAAATAACTGTTAAGAAATACGAGAGACATACAAATAAATAAGACCACAGGAGAGTGTGAAAAAACTCATACATAATAAAGCCATCTTGCATTAGGTTTGGATATGTTTATAATGATGCGAGCTTGACTTGCACATATGAGTTCCTAAATATTTCATCTTGAGGTTGTTGGATAAACCATGTTAGGTCTGACAGAGCCTTTCCATGTGCTCATTTTATCTTAGGCATACTATAGAATATGTCCTCTGTTTAATCTTAAAAATAACTTCTTTTCACTTTAATAGGCTCTCTCTTACCAGATAGGATTCTTGCAGAGTTACTTAAAGAGACCAGCTGTCCATACTTCAACCATGTTACTGATGGATGGGGAATTCCTGAAGATTCACAAATCAGTGTGACGGGGCTTTTCTCCACAACACTTACATTTTCTGGCTGAACCAGATTACCCACAATTCTTGGGGGGACTACCAAAAAAGAGTAGCAAAACAGATTAGACATAATTCAGTAATGAAGGAAGGATAGCTACATTCATATAAAAGAATTTAGAAACAAATATATATAATATTGAGGTTCTTTCTTCTATTAAAACATTCTCCCTTCCTCTTCACCACTGAAAAAATAGTTCTAATTTCTTTTTCAGTGGTGATGGGGACTCCGGCAGATAGGAGTTAGAATTCAGTGAACTAAACTCCCTCTAAACTCTTGCTTTATAGGTTTCTATAGTTCTCCTAAATGAGAAGGTTATTCTTCAGTGCTACAAAAAATAGGCATGTAAACATCAAGTGTATTTTTGCTGTTGAAAGAGTACAGATAACCACTTCCCTCTAACTAGGATTAGATTTTACATCCCTAAGTCAAGCTGAAGAAGTTACTAGTTAGAACCCTAACAGAAGGGGGGTAAATCCTAACTGTTGTTTATTTGATTTGTCACTTGAAAATAAATACACTTTCTATCTCTGGTGCCACAAGAAGTAAAATTATTTGATTAATGTGTTTATTGTGATTCCACACACAGTTGTTTACTCTGATGAGAATTAAGACCTACGTGCAGAATTGTAGCCCTTGTCTCAGTAAAAACGTAATATTAATTTTATCAGCTCTTTCAATCATTCTCATAAAGCAAGAAGCAAAATAAATTGTAATATGGACATTTGTTTGCTTCGTTTGTTCTGAACTACCTTGGAATGGCTGGCATAGGTAACACAGTATTAGCATAAACTCTTCCAAATGTTACTGAATTACTTCTTAGGTTGATTCAGTGCTTTTGTTTTTGTTTTTAAGCAACAAAATGATCCAACCACTTTTTCTCAGGAGCTGAAAGCACTATATGAAAGTTTACGTTCACACTTTTGCAAAACCTTGTATCTTTGCTACGTTTTGGATAAGATCAGAGGCTTTCTGAATTAGATTAAGACCTTTCTCTTGAAATGTATCAAGAAAATGGTGTGACAAAAGGAGATATCCAACGAAAGGAAAAAGTAAAATTCTGTTGGGAAAATAGTAAAAGTACTTTGTCTTACATTTTGCTTTAGTTATTATATATTACTTACAATGTTTTATTTGTTTGCTTGTTTGTTTATTATTTATATATCACATTTATATAGCCACCCGTCTCACACAAAGTGACTCTAGGATGTTGTACTTTTTCCCTCTGCTTCCCCCAAAGCATATATATTACTATATATTAATTCATGAGTGCTGCTTTTCTCCTACTTAGTACTTAGTACTACATCAAGTAACAGAGCTGTTCCACAGGTGGCAGAATAGTCCATTGCCCTCAGTCCGGGCATGCACCTTTGTGTATCTTCTCTATTACATACATTTCCTTTGCTCACCATGAACATTTAAGTCATATTTCCTGTCGGTCACTCCTGCCACATTCACAGCAACACATACATAGCGACCAGTGTCCGACACCTGTGCACTTTTAAGTCGAAGACCACGCCCCTCATTTAGTATTTCAGCTCCTCTCCCATTGGCTAATGGCTGACCATCTTTCATCCAGGTGACAGCTGGTTGAGGAATACCATCCGCTTGGCATTCAAGTGAAATGTCATTCCCTTGAGTTACAGTGACGTCTGATTGTGCATTCCCATTGTCCAGTATAGTTGGACGAACTGTTCAGAGAAACAAGACAACATTTCAGGTTCAGCTTTTCAGCCCCAAACTCCATGTGACATAGTAATAAGTGATTAGAACTCCCAGCTGCATTTCCTTTTGAAAAATCCAGCTCTTTGGGAGGGGGAGGGGTTATATTTTAACAGTGAGATTTAATTTCAATCAAACTCATCTCCTGGTGACTACATGGGTACATCTGTAGTTCCTTACTTTCTTAGCAATGATACAAAATCTGCCACTATCATCTTCTGGTCTCCTTCTCCTTCTAATTACCAGTCTAGCCTACTCCCCTGAGAGTTACTGGTGGCCATTCTTCTGAGCACTAATCAGTTCCCACCCTGCTTAGCTTTAGGAGGCCAGCAGGTCAGCAAGATGCTGCTACCTAGCGGGACATCTGTACTGGGGGCATGAAAATGACCAAGTGCAAATCTAGCTTCTAAATTTCTGTTAAAAGCAACACCAAAAATGTGTGTTTTCTTGTACTGTGCCTGCATATTCTCCATCTCATAACTAATATTGGGGTCAGGAGTGTCAGAGTATCAGGAAAATCCCTCCAGCTGCTATTAGCAAAAAGAAAAAGAAAATAAGAGATCCGGTCACTGATTTCCTGTGACATGCTTAGTTTGTTCCAAAGTTTATTTGTGAAGGTCTTACTTACTACTGAATTGAGAAACATTGCAAGTGACTTACTGTACACTAGCAATTTATATTCTTTCTTTGTTATTCCAGCTACATTTGAAGCTATGCACGTATAGGAGGCTGCATCTGATTTTTCAGCAATAGAAATTTGCAGCTGTCTTCCTCCTGATAGGATCCTGACTCTCCCTGTAGGGTCAGCTAGTAGTGGAGAACCTACAAGAGAAATACTCTCAGATAAAAAAAAAAATCGAAGTATAAAATATGTGTACATATTTTTCAGAGTCTTTGAAACCAGCCATATTTGGATAATCAAATCTTAGCTTAATAGCCCAAGGCATGAATGAACTTCAACTTCCTGCACATACTGTTAGTTTGTTCCTCTCTTTGTACAGTATAAAAAATAAGGCAAATTGCACTTAATCACAGCTTCCTTTTATGTCTGAACTGGGAAGTATGATTAATGATCACGATTGTTAATCCTAGTTATGAAAATCAGCTATGCCTTCATTATTTTTACATTTATATATCACTTCCCATTAAAACATCTCAAAGCAATTTAAACTAAAACAAACCATAGTTTCCTAGTTAGATATGACACACTAAGCCATGTTAAAACTAGATTAAGTTTAGCATCTCATCTGAACCAGTCCAACACTGTAGTTAAGATGCTGTGTCTATACCACAATCTCAAATGGTTGCTTATAGTAATATTATTTATTTCAGTTATGGCTTTAACCTCCTTTCTTCCATACAAATGCTTCAACTTCTTTTGGGCTATTGTGTGTCTTTATTAAGGGTTTTGTGCCTATGTGTATGTGTTTATTTACAGAAAGGGGAAAGTGGTAGCGTGCCAAGACCTTCTGGAATGCCAAGGAGGATGGGGCTCAGCAAATAGTGGTTTCTTTGATTGCCTTACCCATGGCTAAGCTTAAACTATAAACAGGTGTGCTGTGCATATGCACCATAGGATTAATCACAGCTTTGTTGCATATTATACTACTCGGGCAAAGGGAAGAACAATTTGGCTGCAGGCAAATGCAAGAGACTCATTCACACCACAGCGTTTCCAGACATACTTCCTGCCAGGCTCGGTCAACTAAAGTGCAAGTAAGTCCCACAAGCAACAAGTGTTACTCCCATTACACTTTGGACAATGAGGGATTGGCACAAATTCAAGTTGATACGTTCTGTGAATTCTGCCTGAATTATGGCATTCTTTTTGCAAGGGTCCCCTGGTTGCTTTGGAAGCTCCAGGTGCATGGATGGTCTCCAGGTGCATGTATATGCACAGACAGCACTTCTGCTGAGACTGCCAGCAAAGTGAAACATCTGTGGGTGCATATTCATGGGAAGAAAGCAGCCGTGCAGCCCTTGTAAAAGATGCAGCTGCTTTAATGATTCAGAAAAATCATTAATTTGCACTCATGTGCATAAAGCATCTTTAATACTCTTACAAGAGAGTATGTAACCCCTAACTTCTGTAACTTTGGAATTTTCCAGATGTGTTGGGACTGTTAATCCCAGAATAACTAGCCACAATGCAAGTTGGAAATCCATACAGGTAAGGAAATGCTGACTTGCATTCTGGCTGACTCAAATAAGACATAAGAAGGAAGGAAAAAGATGGAAACACAAAGCAGCTTTGTGTAATTATGGTTAAAGATCTATATCACACCAATAGCTTCTTCATCTAGGTCAGTGTTGTCCAAACGTGGCCACTTTAAGATGAGTGGACTTCAACTCCCAGAAT